AAGCCTGCCAACTTTCAAGGAGATAAGTGCAAGGGTTTAGGGGAAACTGCACCTCTAGCTGCAGACAAGCAAAACTCGTGACATGGGTGACACTGTGTGTGTTAAGGCGCAGCAGGATAAAAGCTGCAGGGATAGTAGCCCCTGCTGCGGCCACGAAGCCTGCCAGCTGTCGAGGAGATCAGTGTAGGGGGGTTCTGGGGCCCTGCACCTCTGGCTGCTGACAAGCAAAACTCATGACATGGGTGCTTGTGAGCTAAGACAAAATATGGAAAACAAAAAAGTACATAAAAGAAAAATGAACGTTTGTCTCTAGGCGCACAACCAAAAACTTTGGTCCCTCCCAAAAAGGGCCAAAATCCCATTCTTACAGCTCACTGGGTGCAACTACATGTTCAATAATGCACTTTAGGTAATGTGCATTAAATTTAGTATCTCCATTGTGAGATGCTAGAAAAAGGTGCATTAGCCTATTTTAATGCGCATTAGCTAAAGAATACTTTTTTGTGATGGTTTAATTCACATTAAAATATGCTAAGGTACATTAAAGCACAAATGGGGATGTACCAACTCTGAATTTACAGAAGGGAAATAAAACAGGTTTGGTTTGGTTTGTTTTTGCAATCCAGCTACTTTGAAATAAATCAATATTGGTTTAGAGACGTGACTGAGAGAAGCTGGTTTAAAATCTCTAACATATTAACTAGAGAGCTGCTGAAAGTCCAGAACTGAATTGACTGATTAAGAGTTGCTAGCCCCCAGACTTGGGCCCTGAAGAATTTCCCCCTTCTGGAAGTTAAATTCAGGACTTACTGTCTTGGTTTCTAAAATTACAGACTAACGGCAGTAAATACCTGTTGTCCTGAGTGAAACTGGCCATCCAGCTGAGTAGGAATTCTATCATTTTGGATGAATAGTTTTTGTAAATGGAATGCTAAGCAGATGTCCCACAATTATTGAAAAACCTATATGTAAGACCACCAACTACAAAACAATACTCAGTTATGTGCTCAGGGATTTTAGAATACTGTCCACAAAATCAGTCATTAGGACACAGTTAGTGAGAATGATGTGAAAGGACTGCCTTCCTAATTGCTTATGTCCATATGAGATCACCAATGAATAGAAACATGACTGGTGACATTTTAAAACTCAATGAAGTCTTTGTAAGCAGAGACACAAGGAAGTAGAAGATAGAATCAAAGATAAAATATTTTTTTTAAATGAGAGGATATGTATGAGAAGCAAGGATTTTTGTGGGTGATACAGTTCATTAGGCTATAGCAGGGGCAGGCAAAATACAGCCCACAGGCCGCTTAACAAGTTTTGGTGAGCTGTGGAGGGCCACATGGGTAGCCCCGCCCCTTAACAGTTGTCCCACCCCCCTTGCCACCACTTGGGACTGGAAGTTCCACCCCAACCCCTGACCTTTGCCACTGGAAGTCCCTCACCTTGCCCCCAGAAATAATTATGGGGGGAGGGAAGGGTTGCCATATTAGAACCAGAAAAAAAATCATACACTAAAAGTCAAGTACATACTATATTTTAATTTTATTATGAAAAATATTTTTGTCATGATTTGTGTTTGTGTAGTGTATATAGAAATGATTGCATAATAACTCAAAAATAAATTCCTAGTCTTGTGTGGGGGGGGGGTGTATGGTGGGGTGTCAGGGGGTGTAGGTGTATGTGTGTATGGTAGGGTTCGGGTTGGGGGCATAGGGTATGTTGGAGGGTTGTGTATATATGGAGGGTTGTGGGGGCACGGTGTGGGTGTGGGGGGTTTGTGGGGTGTGAGAGGGTTGGGGGCAGGGAGTCTAAGGACTTCCTGTACTCCTCCCATGGTGCAGCAGCAGCAGGATGGGCACTCAGGGCACAGGCACCCAACGGGGCACACCTCCAACCAGCACATCACAATGAGGGGCGCAGCCTCCACTGGGCATTCTGTATCACTGGTGCTTCCTGCCACATACATGCAGCCACTTGCCAGGCACAAGAGGGAAGCCCCAGGTGCTGGAGCCAGCTGCTTCCCCCACCCAACCAGAGGAAGACACCTAGGGCTTCCCTTCTGTGCCATGCAGCCCCAGCTAGGCAGGCAGCCAGCTCCAGCATGCAGGGCCACCCTCCTGTACCCGGCCAGTGCAGGGGCTGTGCGTGTGTGGCAGGGAGTACCAATGATACAGACTGCTCAGCAGAGGCTGCGGCCCTTTCCACAATGTGCAGCACTGGCTGGAGCTGCACCCCACCAGAAGCCTGTGCCAGCCACAAGCAGCCTCAATGCCACCAAACCATGGGGGTCCTAAGGCGGTCCCCTCACCCCCCACCCTTCTTCACACCCACATGCTGCCCACCCCAGCTCCATGCTGCAGCCAGCTGCAGCCAACTGCAGCTCCATCCTCGCCACTTCCCTACCTGCTGCCCAGAGTCAGCAGGAGACAGAGAAGCGGAGCAGGTCCCCAGGGGCTCCAGCAGCGGCAGCAGCAGCACCGCCCAGAAGCTCCATGGTGGCTGGGCCAGGCCCTTCTGCCCATGAGGCTGGGAGCGAGGTGCAATTGGGTATGTGTGTAGATGTGGGTGCTTTGCTCCCGCCCTCATGGGTGGAAGAGCCAGGCAGGGCACAATTTGTTGGTGGGTGCCGCTGGCCAAATGGAAGTGCTTGATGGGTCATATCCAGCCCACAGGCCTTATTTTGCCCTCCCCTGCACTAGAAGGATGGCACAATCTGCACAGAACTTGAAAGAAAAAGAATAGGTTGCAGCAGGGAATGTTTAGAGAAGGCATCATGAGATCTATTTGCAAAGTCTTTAATGTTACCTGCAGGTGAAGCACCTCTGTAAATAACTTTCTTAATAAAGGCCCAGCTTACTTTTAGATGTAGGGAGTCCTCTCATGGTTTTACCCAGCAAACTTTGCTTAAAATAATGCTATTCCTCCTAAATGATCATTCAGGCACAGGCTTTTGGCATAAGATGATATTCAAGCATTGAAAATGTCCAGAATCTTTTCTCTGCCGAGGGGACTACGATGTGCAATGATCACTGGGAAATCAATACTGACACAGGATTTACTCATTAAACACATCTTCTCAGCCACCTCTGCAAAAAGGATGCTGACTCAGATGCAACAGCAAATTAAAACTGCCCCGGTCCTAGCAAAAATTCAGCACAACACAGTGGAGATCTATTGAGGCATAGCCCTGACTCCCTGGAGGGCATCCCACAGCAGCTGACTGCCATGTTGATGCAGGAAGGTGTCATTTATGCCTCCTTTTGCCAGTTTCTCTAAATCTTGCCCATCATTTTTAAAGGGTTTTTTCCCCCTCCTTTAAGGCAGGCATGTCACTCCAAACTCAGGGCAATTAGGCTTTTACTACACACCACAATGTCACATGCCTTTAAAAGATTATATATAATTTTGTGTGTGCACATGTACACATGCACAGGTGCATACATACATATAGATGTTTTGAACACCTTACAAAACACTTTAGAAAGGCAATTAGTCTTTCATGGTGCCATGCCAATTTAACAAAATTTGATGGGTAAAAAAATTCAGAATCTCTCAGTACTAAAATCAAATTGGGGAGGGGGGGAAAGGGGGGGTGACACTAGCATTTCCTCTTGTTTTGGCTTTTGCAGTTCATTCAGGGTTTCCCCAGCGTAATTCAACTCAAACATAAAAAAAGTCCATAGCTGACCAGGGTGCAGAGTAGTGCTATGCCTGCTCACCTTGGATCGCTACAGTACTACACACTGCTTCAGCTGAGCCACGTGAAGTCACAGCATGATCTGCTGCATCTTGTAGTCTGCCCCTGCCAACGTGACTGTGTCCATGCATTTGCTTGAAGCTGCAGATTAAAGTGAAAAACACAGTGGGCTGAGAGCTGTCAGAAGACCACTACCAACTAACTACCAAATATCCATCTCACCTTTGACTTATTGCCCCTTACAAAGTCTGCTCTCCCACCAGAGTGCTGTAGGTGCAGCAGCCGCAGTCTGAAAGATCTGGAGGAAGTGCTGCCCTTCCTCCAGGAGCATTAGGCACTGGCAGTACTATCCCAATCCCTCTATTCCCCTGACCCCCCTAAAGTTGTCAGGAGTCCCTTCAGGGGTGGTATCTGGATGCCCTGCCACTGCTGCAAAGTATTCCACAATCTCAGAGTGGCATCTTCATTCTGGCCCGAGCTTCCCCTTCCCAAAAGGAGCATCTTTAGTCATGCTGCTGTTACTCTAACCTTCCTCTCATTCCCTACTCTCACTTACTGACTTGGGGAAAATTCAGCTCAAAGGGCATGCCTAAACAGTCAAATAAAAACCGCACTAGAGTGAGCTGTAATAAAGCAGAGCTCACCTGCTTTGCACACATGCTACACCCTGAGACCAGCACTGGGAATGCCCCAGTGACCTTACCCTCTCAGGCATGTTCATTTGGCCAATGCCTAACGCCACACTAAGGGTAGCTACTTTGCACACTTTCAAGGAATAACACAGAATAGGCATGCTGTGCTTCATTGCAGAGCTCCCAGCCCAGTCCTTTGATGGCATAGAAACGTGCAAAATGACCATGGGTCAGGTTCCCGTTCCAGAAGGAAAGAAGTCGAAACACATTATATTCCAATATTTGCATTTAGAATAGGTCAAAGTGATCAAAATCAAACTATTTTTCCCCAGAACTTCCCTCCCTAAAATAGTGATCTTTTCCCCCTCGCTTTCCCCAACAAGGCAGAAACTCTGTTTTCTGGACAGTTCAAATTTTCAGTGCAAACAGATTCTCTCTCTGATCTGCAGAGGGCACCAGACAGTTTTGTACAAGACAAAAAGGCACTCAACCAGGGGCTGCTGTACCTGATGTTTGCAGCTGTCAATCAAAAAGATGCTTGCTCTCTAATGGCCGTTGTACTGCACAGAAGACAAGTAGGAGTTGTTTTGCTGTCATGAATGTATAAATCTCTCAATTCTTTTTTTTTTTCCCTTCGTGCGGTTGAACTAGCAAGAGAGATTTCACTGAGCTGCAACATGCTTTCCGACCAGGAAGCCTGCGATGGTCCCAGCTCTTGGTAACAGATCAGAAAACTATTTGCTTTTAATTTATAGGAGAACTAGAAACAGAGTAAAGGGCAGAAGGATGACTGAAAAATTTGCAGCTCATTTTTACTTGAAAGAAAAAAGAAAAGCAGAAGCTGCTTGTCTGACCCAAAAGTCATTTTTAATGAAGACTCATAAATATTTATTTTTTTAAGCAACTAAGGCAAAGTCTCGTCTCATTCTAATAAGCACAGATATATTTTTAAAGGACTTCAAAAAACCAAAAACCAACAAAAAACTCAAACCTTGAATGCTGCCAGTTCTAGAGCTGCCTGTGAAATCAAGCCCCCTGTTGATAATGAATGCTACACACTGTCCGCTTACATTTCAGCCTGTGCTGCTTAATATCACTGAGGACTTCAATGACTCAATCCTCCTCAACAACCGAAGCAGCAACGGATTCTGTGAGCAAGTCTTCATTAAAGCAGAAGTCTTCTTGACTTTAGGGATCATCAGCCTGCTGGAAAACATCCTTGTCATCCTCGCAGTGCTGAAGAATGGAAATCTACATTCTCCCATGTACTTTTTCCTCTGCAGCTTGGCAGTGGCAGACATGCTAGTGAGCATGTCAAATGCCCTGGAAACTATCATGATTGCAATCCTAAGCAATGGCTACTTGGTCATTGATGACCGCTTTATCCAGCATATGGACAATGTTTTTGACTCAATGATCTGTATCTCCTTGGTAGCCTCCATTTGCAACTTGTTGGTTATAGCTATTGACAGGTACATTACTATTTTCTATGCTCTCCGTTACCACAGTATTATGACTGTGAGGAAAGCCTTAATCCTCATTGTGGCCATTTGGATTGCTTGCATCATCTGTGGCATCATATTCATTGTCTACTCAGAAAGCAAAACTGTTATTGTCTGTCTCATCACCATGTTCTTCACCATGCTTCTTCTCATGGCCTCCCTTTATGTTCACATGTTCTTGTTTGCACGCCTGCACGTTAAACGGATTGCAGCCCTCCCAGTAGATGGGGTGCCCCACCAGCGTACTTGCATGAAGGGAGCTGTGACAATCACCATCCTACTTGGGGTCTTCATTGTTTGCTGGGCACCTTTCTTCCTTCATCTCATTCTCATTATTTCTTGCCCAACAAACCCATACTGTGTATGCTACACTTCCCACTTTAACACATATCTTGTCCTGATTATGTGCAACTCCATAATCGACCCCCTCATTTACGCTTTCCGGAGTCTGGAGATGAGAAAGACATTCAAAGAAATAATATGTTGCTGTTATGGCATGAGTGTGGGACGATGCATGCTGTAATCATTTGGCTTTTTACTGGGGGTATGAATATATTGGATGTAGATATATATACATGTGTGTTGGGGGTAGGAGTTGGCAACTCTACATTGCAACCAGTGATTAAAGGAAAGACAGAGCAAAAGGAGGGGAGGTTTTACTTGATGTCTTTAAAAGTTAGGCTCTCAGAAAAGAAAGACAGAGAGTGATCTACTTTCCAAGGAGATAACAGAAGTAAAGCCAGAGTGCTTTGTAAAGCAGCTCAGAGAGTCTAAATTCTCTGCAAAAAATGAATTTGCTAAGTAATGTACTATAAATGCTATATTGCAAAGACTTATGTAACAGTCTTTCCCTTCTACCTGTTGCTAGTGTTTTATTTCTATGCCATCACCAACCAAAAATCGGTATAACCTGAAAAAGGCATCTTGAGAAACGCTGCTGAAAACTGTTCATTTCCAAGAGAAATCACAACATCAAAGAAACAACAACAGTGGCTTGCAGTCACTGTTATACACACTTCTGCTTTTCAGAGGGATTATATTGATGTTTATGCTGCTTCCCCTAAAGCAGCCTAGGAAAAGTCTTTAACTTGTAAAGGCAAAAATATTCCTGAAACACTGAAATATTGCTTTAATACCAGTCGTCTAACAGAGCCAGGAGACCTACCATGGTTTAAGCAAAAGTGGGGACTTGTCAATGAAAGGGGGTCATTCTAATCAGGCATTTACATTCTACACGAGCACCACCTCATTAAAGGTAACACTGTCATTTTGCTACGCTAAGCAATGAATTCTTGATTATATTAATAAAGCAAATCGCAGCAAGTCATCTTTTGGTGAGAAGTTACTGGTTAAAACATAGAGAAGAGCTAAAACAGCACATACTTTGAGCTAAGGTTTGGTCTGTACTTTGAACTTGGCTTTTCCGGACAGTAAGTGAAGGCAGACAGTGTAAGGGTAGCAACGGGCTGACAAAGAACTGCCTGCAAGAAGAAAGGTGTAGACAAAGCATCACATCCTTGGGTTTAGGGATAGAAACACTGGGTCTGAATCTCTTCTTACTTAGACAGGCTTCACAATGGTGTAAATATTTTGACTTCAGGGGAGTTGCTCCTGACTGAAAGAAGAATGAAATCAGCTATTTGCAAATTGCTTTCAAATACTCTCTCTGCAAGGTGGCGGCCTGTAAAACAAAATGCCTCACTTTAAGCTACATAAATTAAGTGACCTGTGCTTTTTAATAGAAGCCAAAATATAAGTGACCTTCAAATGGTGTCTGTCACTGAATGCAAGCTGTAAATTATTTCTGTATAATACAACATGTGAGCAGCATGCACAGACTATGAAAACCTACACTGTCATTTGACGTTTTCCCAACACTTTCGTATTCTTAAAAACATACATCGAAAAATAGGGCAGCAGACAGAAGCCCTGCAAGTAACATGCATATAGGTTTTATATTTTCTTCAGATGTTTGAAAACTATTAATTACTTTTTAAAAACTTATTTGTTTTAGTCTCAAGATATGTCATTAGCTTGTTTGCCATTTCCTGGAATACTATGCCTTGTTTATAGCGCAGTTGTCTAGACTATTTATTTGACTGCCTTGGGTCCTCAGCATCCAATGACCTTCAAAATATTAATGTCTCTAGTTCAGAAATGTCTCATCTTTGCAACAGCTGCTGTGTTACACTGAGCCCACTACAGACAACTCAGATTTTCAAATAACCAAACTCAACTGTATATAATTATTATTAATACTCTTCCCTGTATCCTATTTCACAATGTTATGTTTGGTATCACATGTTGTCTTACACTGGTGTATGTTAAGCCTTTATTGTACGTTATGTATTATTCACTTCTTTTTTAAATAATTTCAGATAGCCATCATTTAAGTTGTATTACGCTTTGCTTTGAAGTTCTCAAATAAGGGCCTTTTGAATTTCTTGCCTAATAAAGTATGTTGAATAAAGCAGTCTGAAGACACTGCTTAGAATGCTTTACTGTATGTGAGCCTGACTAGAAAGCTTGGTGGATATGAGGTTCTCCTTCACAGCGGCCACACTTCATACATACTGACCAAGTTCAAGTCTCCAGCACATCCAGCCACCACAGTTTCAATTCCCTACACCTCTGTCTCCCTTCTACCTCCCTTCCAGGTACCTCCAGGGAAGGACAAGAGGTAAGGTGAGCACCAGGAGTCACAGTTCAAAATTGAACAATGGGGCAGAATGCTTCCGGGGGGTTATTTGGACAACGGCAGGTGCTTTGTGGGCGTCAGGTGAGGCCAGGGTGGATGCTCTTTGTCGCAGGACACTTCAGTGCCCTGCGCCTAGGAAAAGGTACAGGTGCCGGTTGCCGGGGCAACCACAGTTTGGTCAGCTGACTGGAAGGGGGCAGGGCCTGGCCTATATAAACAGCCTAGGCTGAGGCCAAGCAGGCAGTTCCCTGCTAACATCCAAGGGAGAAGGAGCTCTGCTGGGGCAAGCAGTGTAGAGAAGCCTGATGGCCTGAGCAGCTTTGGTTCAAAGATACTGGGTGGAGAAAGCCCTGGTAGGGAGTGGGATGAGGATTAGCTGGGTGGCTTACAGATGGCATTTTAGCCAGGAGGCTTAGTTTGAGTTATAGCCGGTTGGCTCGTGTTATTGCGTTTGTTTGTTGTTACACTGGAGGACCGGGTGAGGCTAATTGGAGTTGGAGGAGGCCTCAAAGGGGCTTCACAGTGGTGGGGACCCCAGTGCCAGAGAGGGCACAGCATTTAGGGGTGCACTGACCCCAGCCCTGAGAAGGGGCACAGTGCGTATGGGGCCAGGTAAGGCCGAGGCTGCCTGAGCACCACAGGAGTTGTAGACCCGAGGAGGGGATTTAGGGGCCAGGTACAGCTATGGCCACCTGAGCCCCAGGCACAGAGATAGAAGCCCCAGCATGGGCAAGAGCGAGAGGAGCCCCAGGGAGGGCGCACAAGCAAGACCCAAGAGGGGAATTTGGGGCCAGGCACGGCTACGGCCACCTGAGCCCTAATCATGAGGCAGGGCCCCAGTGCGGGCAGGACCGAGAGAAAGAGAGAGCCCCGGCCTGGGCATGGCTGTGAGGAAGGCCGGAGAGCATCCGCGGGGATTGTGGAGAAAGGCCCCAGTGTGGGCAATTGAGACAAACCCAAAGGGTGTCCGCAAGGGCGCGGGCGATAGTAGGCAAGCAAGGGGATGCCGTGAGGGCGCAGCAAGGGATTTTGAACAGACAACGTCTGGTACATCTGAGAGGCCTGGGGCATGGTATCAGGGGTGGTAGGAGCCACATGTAGCCCTTAAGGCTTTAGTGCACGGGGTCAGCTGAGATGGGGCACTGACCGGGATACATCAGGGGTACCATGTCCAAGGGGTTGAAAAAGCAGCCTCCCATAACACTAATACCATCAAAGGTGTGGCGGGCGAGAACGAGGATGCGTTGACACCGGCTTGGCATGGTAGGGGGTGCTAGGAGAGATCATGGCCACTCCTAGGTCCCTGCCCCGTGACACTTGTAAACCACTTTGGACAAAGGTTTATTACATAACTGCTTGCAAAAACAGGGGACTGGACTAGATGGCCCAGGCAGCACCTTTCAGCACCCTTAGTGTTTTTACACGTGGTCTGGGGGGCAGCACTTTAATTAGTGAACCTCTGAGAGCTGCTCTAAAAAGCACCCCAAGCATCTCACGTCAGCATCCCCGTGCTTCAAAATGGCAGCGGGCGTACTTTATCTAAAGCTTGTCAAACGAGCTTTAGTTAAAGCACTCTGCCACTACGTTGAAGAGCAGGGGTGCTGATGCATGAGACGCAGAGCCTGGCTGGAGTGCAGTGATTACCATGCTCCAGCTGACTCAATTAATCAAGTCTGCTCTAATATGCTGTAATTACAGTGCATCGGGGCAGCCTTCATCTTCATGTACAGGTACCCCCTGTTCCTTGGTCTAAATCAGAGACACCAAATCCTCTGTAAATCACTGTAAAATCGGCAGCTTTGGGTTAGTTCCTCAGCACCAGCCCCTTTTACACCTGGATGCATCTTAGGAAGAGAAGAGAGTCATGAAGGTGTTTTGTTGCCACCTAGCAACACCTCTCCAATCCTTGGGCCAGTTCTGAGATGCAATTCAGGATGCCTCTAACTTGCATTACCTGGTTACTAACACCAAGGAATGATTGAAGCAGCCTGGGATTTAGAGACACCAGCTGTGGCCCTTCTTGCCAGAAATGTGTTCTAGGTCAGGGCCAGGTGAGGGAATGGCAAAATCCCTATTTAAGCAGATCTGGGCTGGCAGAGGTGCAAGGAAGCTGAAACAGGGAGTAAGAACTGACCTTCACATGGAAGGCAGCGCGCTTGAAACTTCAGATAGAGCAGGACTGGGCCTCTTGTGCGAATCAAGTTGATCACATAAATAAATGGATTCAGATTTGGTGCTTTATCTTACTTTAAGCTCCTGGCTTGGTGCAACTCAGAAACATAGGCTAGGAAGAAGGGAGGTAAGGGCAAAAGTAGTCTTAGGCCATCTCCATCCCTGGTCTAAGAGGCAAGTCTGTTAAAATCAACTGAATTGCACCTGCTTATCCCAGGGCTTGTACGTATCTAGGCTGAGTTTTTTTAAAAAGTCACATGCCTGACATGCTTTCGTAGCAATCATTTTAAAGGGATGTAACTTTTCAGTTTTAATCTAAAGCACTAAGCAATGACTATCTGCTCCTACAAGAGTATTTTTTCATTATGGTAAAAAGATTGAGCAGGTTAAATAAAAGCTACAAGACTTGTGACGAGAAGAAAAATGGTGTAAACTCCTAAAATCACTGTTAGTTCCTTAACTACAGCTCCTTGCTTTCAGCTGAGCTGCGACAATTTATAGCAACAGGGTATCCACTTTGTGTATTAAGCGTTTTTACAGTTGAAGTGAGAGGTGAACGTGCTCAGTAGAGCCCTTCTTCTCCAGGGCCCTGGGTGGTTGTTCGTGTAGACCAATGCTTCTTATCTGAGAAAAAACACTGGATGCTAGACTAAGCCACAAGTGTGGGAAGTTTCTGGACCAAGGTTGTATCCATCATTTATAAATACTAGTTTTATATCTTATTAGTTTATTGATCCACTTTTCTGTGGGCAGGGTCACAAATTAATAGGCTTCCCTGAACACTGCTTCTTTCATTCAGGTCTGTTAGTTAGCTAAAAGATTTGTTTTTAAAAAGCAAACAACAACAACAGAAGTCAGTCATCTATAAATATTCAGGAGCACAAGCTATTCCAGCAAAATGACTCAAAAAGGCATATTCTCTTATTTGCCTCCAGATATACCTCTTTCATGTAACATTTAGCTGATACACAGTTTTCTTGTAGATTCTCAAATCATTTCACAAAGCAATGTATTGTTCCCATTTTATAGATAGGAAAATGGAGCTGCAGGGCAGTCTAGTATAAGTTACACAGCAGGCTAGCACTAGATCTACAAATGGAGCCAACGTCTCCTGGCTCCCGATGCTATACCTTATCCATTGCTCGTTCAGTGGCATAGCAGAGATGCACACCACGTGCTCAAACTCACACTGGGTCCAGGACTACAAGGTTCCAGTAAGTTGTGCCCTTCAGCTCATTTTCAAAACTGAAATCATTTTAACTTCTGTGTTTCAAGTGGCTCCATTACTGTCACACAAAGTGGAGAGCTCAGAAGATGATGCAAGTGACTTAATGGCTAGTTCACAGGTTTAACAGAAACACACAGGGGAAGCTTGTTATTCACAGAGAGGTCCTGTACGATGTGCTGCTGCTTCCTTTTAATTCAGTGTTTGTTATATTGGCCGGTGATGGGGTCACCATTAAAGCTATGGATGAAAATAAGCTTGGCTGGACTAGCACCAGTGTAAAACAGAGCTACAGATACCTTGATCTGCTCAGGGAAATTTTTCTTCTCTCCCCTAAAAGTACCAAACAGCACTTTAAACACATGAAACACATATAGCTTTTTAAACTTGTATTTAAAGGAAGGTAAAGGATCACTGCCTTGTTTCTCACACGCCACTCCCACAGCATACAGGGGTCATAAGAGGCCCGACAGTTTTCTGGGAAATAAGCCCCTGGGAGTGTGCCAGGACAGGGGCGCCACGGCAGGGGGCTCCATGCTCCTCATTGATGCAGAAATTCCAGTTCACTCCACCCAGCCCACAGGTCACTGTTGTAAGGCTGCCATAAGTCAGTTGACTGGGGGAAGAGGGGAGTATGTCTAAGAAACCAAAAGGTGACTTCACCCCCCTTACTCCTTTCCTGGGGCTGCTATCTCTGTGCTGCACCTCAGTAGAAACAACTCTGGGTCAAATTCTTATCTAAAGAATTAGGCACAAATAATAGAGGCCGTTCTCCACAACACGGTTTTTTCCAGACAGCTCCCTGACAAGGAGTACCTTTATGCATCTAAACTTTCCTTAGTTATGAGAAAAAAAAACAGCATGGAAAAAAATTGTATGGGTCACAGAACCAATTACTTCAAAGGGAACAAAAATAAATTTAGTATGACTAAATATAGTGACGTGCTATAAAAGCGCCTCTGTGTTCTTAGATGAAGAACATTAGATCAGGCATATGCTAACACCAACAATCATCCTTTGACAATGGCATTACAAGAACCCTTTTGTCATCACCCCTGCTTTCTCCTTTCTTTGTGTGTTGGGTGGGTTGTACATAGTTTTCTTAACACATCTGAATGAGTATGATACTATAGAACAGATTCAGCAACACAACTGCTGTGGGAACCTGTGCACATCGCAAGAGACCAGAGAGAAATATGTTTACAAAAGCAAGACCTGTAGAAAAAGAATGGTCTTGTCCTGGAGACCCATGCGCGATATGCAAGGACTTCAACAGAGACTGCAAGTGCAAGGCCAGAAACATGTAACACTCTCAGGAAAATCTGTATTAGGATTTTGAAGGTGGCAG